TATTCAAGCAGAACAGTAGCGGTAGCTTCCAGACAGGAAGAAGGAAGGGAACCGTTTAGGGATAGAAGGAGGAGGAATATGCTTCTTGTGCCTATTTTTCTAATCTGGTAACTTTCTTCACAGAATAAGCAAGAACATGTGCATCTGTTATTAGCTCTCTTCCTTCCACAGATATATCTATTTTTAATAAAAACAAACAACTTTACAATAACGATTCACGATTTCAAATCTTTTTCCCATCACATTTCCAATAATTTCATTGGAAAGCTTAAAAAAAAATAAAACACTGAAGTTTTACTTCAGCGTGCTTCCTAGCCCGGGTAGATGGACACACACTAGCTCTGCTCAACCTAGCACGCTTCAAATAGCAGCGTAGCCAGGGGTAGTACAAGCAGCAGCTTGGGGTAGGCCCCCTAAATACAAACCCGTCCAGACCTCAGGGTACAAACTAGGGTGGTTAGCCCCCCTGCTCCCCTGCTGTTTTTAGCACGCTAGCTCAGGTGGCGTTAGTGCGTGTCTGTCTGCCCAAGCTGGGACGCACACTTCCAGCTGCAATGCAAACATATCTTTTGTAAATGCTAGTCAATATTTGTGTCTTTAAGCAAGAGGTCTGAAAGCACATGTTTGAATTATATTTCTTTTGTTAGTTTGAAACCTGGTCTTTAATGTCCTTTAAAGTAGAAAGCAAAAAAATTTGGCTCTTGTCACTTGGTTTGAGGGTTTTCATGATCGGACCAGTAACATAAGCAAAAAAAACAGCAGTCTGCCTGGCTGAATTTCAGTCTTAGAAGACAACAGCCATTTAAAAAAACAATCAAAGGATAAATCTATTACTTATCAACACAGCAATAGAAAGCATGACAACTATTAGACATGGATCAGCAAGGCAATTGGAAAGTAGCAGTTCTAAATGATTTTTGTTATATTTGTACAGTATGTTGCAGTCCCATCCCCTTTTTAGAAATCCAAAATGTTCAGGTCTTTTCTTTTTAATCCCTCTTAGCAGGGAGTCTTGTTTTCACATTTCTGTGTCATCACAAATGAACATCCTGGTAAACTGATGGTAGCAAATTTCTGCTCTGGGTAATTAATCGCATTAGAGTTGGACAGAATCAGTCGGCGCCACTAACAGCAAAATCATACAACCAAAGAAAAAGAATTCAGCCCAGGGGATAAGCCAGTTCTGCTGTAGAAGATTTCCTGCCTGCTACTTTTATGCCCTGTTAAGGGAATGATACCACAGAAAGCTTTAAATTTTTTGACATTCTCTCCATCATGTGATGAGCTAGTTTATTTTCAAACTTCTATGACTTGAACTGGAAATATGAGCAAAATGGGGGAATTCACAGTGAGGTTTTCATTTCAGTGTTTGAAAGTTGTTTGCTATTTAATACTTGAACCTTTTATGCTAGTTGCCCCATGTTTGACATTGAGCTACCACTGATGCTTTCTTCTGGAAATGTGAATAAAATTAATATAATTCTTGTTTCAGTGTGTCTGATTCTTCCTGAGTTTGCTGTAATAAGGATCTGACACACATGGGTGTTGGTAAGGAAGTGGGCTTCATTTCTTGCCTGCAGTCATATGAACTGGGTGAGGGGGACAAAGGTGAGAATCTGCTGACTTGAGGAATGTTTTGTGTCCATAACCATACCCATGAAACTGCTTACAGCCAAAGACAAGTTCCAGTATTTTTGCTTCCAATCTGAGTGTAGTTCAGTTGTGTATTAGTGCTCCAGGCGATCGTCACACAGGTCAGCTCCATACAAATGGGAACTTGTATCAGCTGAGATTTTAGGCTCTTAATCTCAGAATATTTCGGAATTTTTGTTCTTGTGACAACTTCAACCCCTAAAGTTTCTTTTCTTGCCACTCATCCCAATGCCATTCTGTACTATCCTCAAAAAGCGCTGTGATTGAAGTACCTAATTCGTAACAAATTAGAGATGACATGTTAACATCAGCATGAATCTGTGCAAGGCCTCTTCATTTGAGGGTCTTTCTATTTGTACAGTTGTTTCTGCTTCCTTGGGGTCTGGCTGGACTCTGGTCACCTATGTGTCTCACATAACTGATTTCAGTTAGCCCAGTCTGGCATTCGTTCCTGTTGAGTTTAAAGTTCTCTTCTTTTGATATGTTGCAAACATTATGCAGCGTGGTGGTGTTCACCGTCTTCCCAAATTAGCAGATCAACAATTAGTTCCACCCATCCAGATAGTCAATTCTTGTAGAAGATGCTTTAATGTAGCTCAGGTGCGGAGACAAGCCCAAAGGGAAGTCATTTAAACTTATACCTACTAAAAGGGGAGAGTTGAAAGTGCAGATTTTTGACTTTCTCAGCTGAAGCTGGACCTGCCAAAACCCTTGTCATGCACCCAAAACTAAAAACACTGGCATTTTGAAGTCTAGACGTAACTTCCAGAACTGTTCCTATTGGGGTAAGGAGTCATAGTGTTCGCATTCAATGACTTTATTCAGATATTTTGATCTGCAGTAACTTGGTCTTTTTTTTTATTATTACAGCATCTAGATCAGTCAGTCAGTGTCTGGTGTCTGTCCAGTAACATCTCATTTTGACCCCCCCGGTCAAATTGAGCTTTTGCGTTATTTCG